GCCGTCAGCAGGGAGGCGTCCCCCGCCGTTACGGGGACAGATTGGGCTGCGTAATAAAGTCGGGCTGAGGCGAGCAAGGGAGGCCAAGGCACTTGGCTGAAGGTGCCAGAATATGGCAACATGAGTTAGCCTGGCTGAGTAAACAGTAAAACATTTTCTAAATGACCTTTTTGCATCTCTCCCCCGCCCTCCTCCTTACACCCACGGTAAAGATGAGCTGTAGATGGGCGCTGTGCCAGCGTCGGGCAAGGTGGCTGCACTAAATACTGCTGCAGTGTGGGTTTGGATCAGCAGAGTGTCAGCAGAGTGATTCGCCCCATGCTGATGCTGCAGCCCTAAATGTGCGCTCTGCAAACACGCTTGTGACTTCAGCCGTGCTGCCTCTTCTTGCAGGCGCCCTCTCTAGATCATTTCAGCTTTTATATCATTGGTCTTTTTAGCTTTCAGCTTTTCAGCCAACAAGCTAGCGATTTCTAAGAGATTGGAAAATACCGCCCTTGTACTTCCCCCATTGCATGTCATGCTGATCCTCTCGCTTTATTAGTCTCCCACCTGGAACATGTATGCAGATCAGATGTTATGACCTCACTGTGACTTGAAATGCAGCACACTCATTCCGGCTCAGTGATCTTTGAAGCCATACGGAGCCAGAAAACTTGCATTACCAAGTCGCCAAGCAAATAGCCGCCCTGTACTCCTTTCATCGCAGGTTTTCTTCAGGTTAGGTCACCCAAAACCAATATTTCAGTTTTGCGTCGATTATGGCGGGTTAAATCGCCCACCTACTTCTCTCCCTTGGGATTGTGGTGGCAAGATTGCAGCACCTGAGTTCTCAGCTTTGTACACCTGCTGTGGCCATTACGAGGCCCTAATTGATTTTTCGTTTGTTACATTACAGGGAGTGCAGCGGGAGGAGTGATACTCTCCTGGGGCAGAGGAGGAGAGGGGGGGCACCATGGCAGAGAGGACACAGCTGGGAAGTTCGGTGGGGAAATCTTGCCGATGAAATCCCTGAGAGATGAAGGAAGATAGTTTATTCAACCCACAATCTTCAGTCAATAAGGCTGAGTTTACAAGGGCAGCAAGGAGGCAGAAAAAACAGCCAATTGATCTGCGCTTTTGTGGCAGATCAATTGGCGCTCTGACCGCCTACCTACATATTACCATGGCAGCCGGAGGAGTTTGTACACATTGCCGCAGCAGTGATGCTTTGCTCCGCAGTGCAGCAATTTGAACTAGGCATGCCACGGTTGGTAGCCAGTAGCACTTGTGAAATACGCCCATTGTAATCAATGGGGCCGTGCCACAACCATGTGCCAAAAGTGTTCCATTGTCTGCAGGGTCGCAGGCCCAAAGAGGAAGAAGAGGGCCCCCTCCGAGATAGTGCCGCTCCTTCCTCGCCGCTCTGCCACCCGCAGCATGTACGGGCAGCTGTACTGGGCTGGAAAGGCTGTGTCACTGTTCTGTCACTTGGCCAGCAGAATGTGCTGCTGGCACCGCCAGGCAGCACATTCTGCTCTGTGAGAGACGACCCTCTACACTTAGTCCCGCCCCGACGAGGACGGTGCTGCAGGAGTGCAACATACATCACTTCCTGCATTCAGGGACGGAGAAGAGATCAAAAGGGAGATCGTGTACCGGTCCGGGACCGGCAATGACAGTGACCGCTGCTCCTATACAAGCAGTCGGGCGTCTCCAGAGACACCCGATCGCTTGAATGTAAAGCTCCTGGCCGGCCGTTTAATTACAATGGCCGGGAAGCTACTCGTCTGGTCCGCGTTCTCTCGTCACACACGAGAGGACGAGCAGGTTCAAGCCCTGCCTATTGTATAATATACAAAATATTAATCTGAGACTTCTTGGCTGTAAGGTTGGGTGGGCAGTCCCAGCTGTGCTTTAACTACAAACTACTTTAACTACAAATCCCAACATGTCTTTGCCTCTTGGAGTCAGGCCTTTAACTGTCAGGGCTCTTCACACCATATGCAGTGCGTTCCGGCCACGTTCTGGCGGGAACGCACCTTATCGCATTGCGGCCGGCTCTCTGTTTTGCTGGGCAGCAGGTCCAGTGTGGTGCGGTCAAAATGCTGCGAGCACTATTTTGACCGGACCGCACCGCAGGCACAATGTGCCCTACGATCCCGTGCGGCCGATCGCATTGTGGGCGCAGGGCGTGGCTATGGCGCCGTTCACTTCAATGGCCCGCCACGCCCCCTCCTGCCCAGCAAAAAAGGGAGCCTGCCGCAATGCGATAAGGTGCGTTCCCGCCGGAACGTGGCCGATACGCACTGCATATGGCGTGAATGAGCCCTCAATCTTGCAATGCCTCATGGGACTTGTAGTTCCACAACAGCTGGAGGGCCGTTGTTGCCCACCTCTGCTCTAAGGTGTGCCCATAAATGCCTCTTCGTGTTAGAAACTTTGACAGCAGGCACGTATTGTAGTTTCTCATGCCACAAACAATAGATTTGTATTTGATAAACAGGCAGCAGGAAATGATTTTACATCACCACTACTGTGTGCTGCCGTTCACCTGTATTATGGGAGCTGAGTTATCTGCAAAAATCGATGAGGTAAAACTTCGATAGCAAGCAGAATACAGGAAGCGAGTTTTAAAATCTTGTCCCGTTGGTATAGATTACAGAAGCTGCTCTATGAATTATATCCGCAATGTTCACCTCGCTGCTGGAGATGTTTGAAGGGTGAGGGCTCCATGTTGTATATTTTCTGGAGTTGCCCTAAACTAAAGAGTTCCTGAACCAAAGTTGGGGAACTAACTCGCAAACTAAAAGTGGTGGATTTGGGAAATTCTCCTAAGGCGTTCCTCCTACATCTTGCTCCTCTTTTAATAAACAAAAAAAATCCTTACATGTACACATGCTTAACACTGCCAGATCATGTATTCCTCTTTTTTTGGAAGCAGTCTGTCCTGCCATTTTATGGGTGTTTGGATTAGCAAAGTTAACTAAATTAGAGATATTGAGAACTTTAAGGGCCTGTGCTAATCACTCAGAGGCCCAACTCGGGCTGACTTGGTTCCACTGGGAGGAGTTCTCATATACATCTGAGTATATAGCCCGCTGCTCCTGTCCTCCTAGCCCGCTGCTCCCACTTTTTTGTCCGCCACCCCCCTTTTCTTTCTACTTTTCTCTTTCTTGTATCTCTGTCCTTCAATTCCTGTCCAGATAGGCTTTAACTTCTGCTTTGGTGCACCAATGTTGATGTGTCACATTGACCATATGGTTTCCCCACATTGTGATGGCCTTAAAGGACATTTCCACCTTTTGTAAGTAATTTTGTGGGTTTTTTTGTGGTAATGTAGAGGTGCAGGGGCGATGTATATGTGTGTGCATTGTCAGCAGTCCCAGGGCTGTTTTTCACACTTTATTTAATAGACTCTTTCACAGGCCAGAGTCCTAGAAACTCAAAATTTCCTCCACAGGATCTTCAATCCTCTCTACTGAGGGCCTGTTCACACGACGTCCGTTTTCTGTGCTGACCTGATCCGTACGCTCCTGCACTAAAAATGCATCCCAATGTATCCCTATGTGTTTTATGGGCTACAGTTCTCACGTGCGCAGTCCGTTCAGCTTACGACCTAAAAATACTGCATGTCACATTTTGTACAGTCAGGAAACGCAAACGCGTAAAAAACGCACTGCACTGCTGCTAACATACTAACAGCCTCACTTTTTTTTACTGGAACGTATCAAAAAAAGCGGCCAAAACGCACTGCATCAGTAGCACCGCGTCTGCAGATCAGGACCTGAAACTCATGTGAACAGGCCCTGAGGGTCGGGTTGTTATCTGTAAACTGCAATCAGCCGATTCCTCTCTGCTCTGCTGAGCTCATTGTGCTGACCCCTCCTTATGAACCAGCACACACTCAGCTCTGAGGAGAGAGCAGAGAGGAGAACTGTGTGTGTGTGTAATTCCCCGCACTTGTTGTGTTCTGTAGACCTTTCTGTGTCCTGTGTGTCTCTCTCAGATTTCTCCCTCTCCAGGGCCAGATTTAATCCCGCCTGATGGCAACCAATCACAGGATACAGGCAACCAATCTGCATCATTCTTTAGTTTGCTCAGGTAAGTGAGAGAGATGCTGATTGGCTGCAGTGCAAATCTACTCCAGATTTTGTCTACTCCAGTTTTGATAGATCCCCCACTGTGCGGGGTCACGGGGGAATGTGCGGGGTCACGGGGAAATGTGCGGTATCATCAGAGATAGGCGGGGTCACGGGAAATGTGCGGTGTCAACGGAGATGTGTGGGGTCACCGGAGAAGTGCGGGGTCACCAGGGATGTGCGGGGTATCCTGTGCTCTATGCTTACAATGTTATTTTGACTTTGTTATTCAAAATTTTAAACTAAGAATTACAAAAATAATTGAGGGAGGAGGAAAAGCTTCACATAAAGGTTATACTGGTTTGTGATGAGGAGACTGTTGATATGTGGCCCATGTCAGATCAGGGCCATGTCAGACTAGTGACAGGATGTTTAGAGAGGGCAGAAAAAAATCAAAAAGGTCTTGATCCTTCTCTGGCTGGAAGCTTGAGGTGTCATTCCATCTCTTGCTGAAGACTGCAGAATCTCTCTGGTGAGGAAGCGGCTCCTAATTCTTCTGGCCAGCGAGGGGACAATGGTGAAGAAGCAGGTGAGTGTTTTTTGTTCTCTCCAGTGAACCTGTCGCTGGTGAGTTGTAATTTTTTTTTTTAATCTTGGCTTCTTTTCCTTGTTCTTGGCTGTATGGAGCAGTGGGAGAGTAAAGGAAAGGTAAGTATGTTCTTCTGAGGAGTGGCATGAAGCAAACGTGTTGCTTTTCCCTACGTTGACAAAGCACTGGTTTCCATAAAAATTTCACATTTGACTGTCTTTGTGTCCTTTCTAAAGCGCTGGAAAATTGTTGGTGCCATATAAATGAAAAGAATAACTGCCAGTGATCACATTGCCATGAGAAAGGAGTGACACTTTCATTCTGCATTTTTTATTTTTTGTCTTTTTTAGGATGTTGCTGCTCGTGGTCTGGATTTACCTCGGGTGACCTGGATTGTTCAGGTAAGTCTGCAACTCTCACACAGGCTAAATTCTGATGTATTTGGCGGCTCCTGCGCAAGCAATATTTGTGGCAAATATAACATTTTTACAAAGTGGTGATATGATAATGCTATTTGGCAAACACCGCAACTGAAATAAAGTCAGAAAGTCAAGTCAAGTTACATTAAAGTAGAACTATGGCCTCCCATTAAAAAAATGTGCTACAGAAGTTAAAGTGACAGATTTAAAAGGAAGAGCAGCAAACAGAAGGGAAACAACCATGGATTACAGTAAGGCACACATTACAGTATTGTTTTATGTTAAAAAATCTGAGGGTTTAATGTCACTTTAAGTTTTCTTTTAAAGGAGAACTATGAGGTGAGTGCTTTTCACTCACCTCATAGTTCTAGCTGACCTGTGACAATGAGACTGTCACAGGTCGGCTCAGTAGATCGGGAAGTGAGCGAACATATACCGGCCTTCGCTCACTTCTCGATCCTGTCACGGCTCTCTGCCGTGACAGGGGAGGGACTGGAATCCCCCCTCCCTGCTCCGATCCTCTAGCGCTGACTGGTGGAACGGACGGGGGAGGGGGCGGGTACAGCTGGCTCTGCCTCTAGATAGGCAGAGCCAGCAGTCACTCACGCAGCTGGGCGGATCCAGACATAATTGTCGGGATCCGCTTCAGCTGCGGCGTCTCAGTATACCGCGAGCTTAGGGTGACGGGAGGACGCTAGTTTGTGTCCTCCCATTACCTAAAGGAGAATTATGGGGAAAAGCCCTAACCCCATAGTTCTCCTTTTAAGTCCCACAAACACCCGTTGAGTCCACCAGAGACATCCACCCAATGCTGCTTACTCTGCTGCACTGCTCCTGAGTTCAGCACAGAGTTGTCACTCTCATGAAGGGCATGCCTGTTTGCACTACAATGAGAGAAGATCTCTCGGGGGGACATGGCTATCAGCATTGTCACTGTGGATTCACAAGCATGAAGCTAGCCACATTTAGTCCTGCCCACTGCATTCTGAAATGACCACACTGCCTCTGTAGCTTTGCCATGGGGCAGGAACATAGTGGGTGGGGGGGTTGTCAAACGCTTTTGCTAAGTCCAAGTATTCTATATCCACAGCCATTCCTTTGTCTAATTTATTGCTCACTTCCTCTTAAAAAGAAAGTAGATTTGTTGGACAACTTCTGTCTTTTGTGAATCTTTGCTGACTATAGCTTATTATTATTTTCAAGCAAAAAACGTGTGTATGTGATCCTTTGTCAAACTTTCATGTACCTTTCCAAGTATGGAACTAAAGCTTACAGGTCTGTAATTACTTGGTAAATACTTTGATCCCTTTTTTTAAATATAGTTACCACATTGGCCTTGCGCCAATCCATTGGTACGAAACCAGTCATTAGAGAGTCTTTAAAAATTTTGATACAATGGCTTTGATATAATAGAGCTCAGTTCTTTGAGGATACGTGGGTGTATGTTTGTTCACCTTAATTTTGTCTATTTTTGGACCATATCAATAGTCAGCCATTGTGGTTCATTAGAGCCTGTGACATTGCCATCCCCATTATGAATGTGAGTTTCATAGAAAGTATTTAATAGATTTGCCTTCTCTTTGTGCCCAGTTACCAACTCTGAGCAATGGGCCTACATGCTCAGACCTGACCTGTTTTACTGTTACTATACACTGCATGGCCAAAAAATAAATCAGCACCTGGATCTAGCTAAGCAAATAGGTAAGAGGCTTCCACTGGATAATTACTGCAGTGATTAATGTGTTATGTGCCCACAAAATGAGGTCAGCTGTCTACCTGGATATACTGAATAACCATCAATGGGTTTTTTTCTTCCTTGATGGCACATTGGGCATATTCCAAGATGACAATGCCAGGATTCATCAGGTTCAAATTGTGAAAGAGTGGTTCAGGGAGCATGAGACATCATTGTCACACATGGATTGGTCACCACAGAGTCCAGACCTTAACCCCATTGAGAATCTTTGGGATGTGCTGGAGAAGACTTTACACAGCGGTCCCACTCTCCCATCATCATTACTACAAGATCTTGGTGAAAAATGAATGTAACTCTGGAGAGAAATAAATGTTGTGACATTGCATACGATCACTGAAACAATGCCACAGCGAATGTGTGCCATAATCAAAGCTATAGGAGGTCCAACGAAATATTAGAATGTGACATTTTTTGGCCAGGCCAGTGTATTTAAAGAATTTTTGGGGGTTTGTCTTCACATATTTTTCATCATATTCGTTTTAACTTTCAAATGCCCCATTCGTTTTACTTTTCATCCTTTTAAACTTCTTGCTTAAAGGAGAACTATGGGGTTAAGGCTTTTCCCCATAGTTCTCCCTAGGGAGGACACAAACTAGCGTCCTCCCATCACCCTAATCTCAGTATACCGCGAGCTACAGCTCACTGTATACTGAGACGCCGCAGCTGAAACGGATCTCGACAATTCTGTCTGGATCCACCCAGCTGCGTGAGTGACAGCTGGCTCTGCCTATCTAGAGGCAGAGCCAGCTGTACCCGCCCCCTCCCCCATCCGTTCCGCCAGTCAGCCTTTTTTTATAGCCTCCCATCAAAAAAATGTGCTGCAGAAGTTAAAGTGACATTAAACCCTCAGCTTTTTTAACATAAAACAATACTGTAATGTGCGCCTTACTGTAATCCATGGTTGTTTCCCTTCTCTTTGCTGCTCTTCCTTTAAATCCTCATGTCTTCTCATGCTGGGGGAGAACTTCCCTTTGCAGTCGCCCCGGCTGCGGCGGTCTCAGTATACTGAGCTTTGGGTCACGGTAGGATGCTTGTTTGTGTCCTCCCGTGACCCTTAGGAGAACTATGGGGAAAAACACTTACCCCATAGTTCTCCTGTAAGGGAATATACAGTATTTTGCCGTGTTTGCAAAAAAATTGATTTGAAACATTGCCATTTCTGTTCTGTTTTTTGATGACAATATTCCCTCCCATTCTATGTCTTGGAGAGCAGCCCTCAGCATTGGGAAATTTACTCTACTGAAATTAAGTATTCTTATTTTTCCAATATGTGCTTGTTGTTTGACAACTATGTAAGAAGGGGGTTTCCCTTAATTTGGAGAGATTTCCTCTTATTTCCTGTTGTTTCTACAAGACAGAAATTGAAAGCAATGCTCACCAGTTGGATACAGACATCAAAAAAAAAATTATTTCAAGTGTTCCCTACTCTATCCAGAACTTAAAAATAATGTTTTGGCTTTAGAGATACTTTAAATCACCTGTTTCTGATATATTCCTGGGACTTTCTATTGAAATCTCTATACTTGAGTCCCGGGGTCTGCAAGGGTAACCTACTCTCCTCGTTGGATTTTTTCAGATTTTATACCATGGTGAATATAGTAATCGGAGTGGAAATCACCTCTGTTGTGTCAGTAGGAATGAGTCTCTAAGGTCGGAGGGAACATAGTCAAGAACTACATTTTTGAGATCTCGTGTACCAGAACCTACAATGGAATCTTTTTTTTAAACTGTTTTTCTCTCCCGTTCATTGAAGTACACAGGGCAACAGATCGTAGATCCTGAATGGTAGGGTATATCGCCACCTGCAGGAGTAGGACGCTAGGCACATAACAAAAAGACAAGACAGCCTAGGGGCGGCCCCTGCTGGTGGCCCAACCCCTCACTTGCTGACAAGTCTCCAGTTTTTTGCCTAGCGTCAGGAGTAAGGAGCTAAAAAAATTCTTTTTCGTGTCCTTACATTGGACCATGGTGTAGACTTATTCCCTGGTATTTGGTAGAAAGCAGTAAAAAAAATTCTTAAATGGAATGAAAGGTCATTAACAAAGACCGTCTCTTCTGAATCACATGACAAGTCATATCAAATCAAATTACAAGCACTCTTCGTAGGGGTTCATGTATAAAATGTCATATAGCTGTGTGGGTTCCGTTCGCACTGCATCAACACCACTAGATGGCGCTGATGACGATAGGAATTTTATCAATGCCATCTAGGTGCGCTAGTGCCGTGCAAAAGGAATCACCGGGCAGAATATCTGGGGTGTGGGGCCAGTCGACTGGCATCACTGTTCAGGTATTTTGACAGCGGCACATCCGCCTCTCTCAGAATATATTAGCCCAGTGGGAGATTCGGTCATCCTCACTGTTTAGCATGGATGGAGGAATCCATCCAACATGTGGGCTGAATGTAAAAAATATAACCGTGTACGGCCAGCTTTACTCTTTTGAGCAGTCTCAACTTTAGTAATCAGCCTGTCACAGCATGGCTGCTTTTAGATAAGGACACAAGTTTCACGCAGCCCTCACCCCTTGTGGAAGTTAATGAGCTGAGAGATGTAAAAAAGAAACAGCCAACTGCTTAAATTTACAGAGGGAGCTTAATCCTTTCCAGGAGAAGCTGTTTAATTCAGAAGTTATTTCCTCCATAATATCAGCGTTATTTGAAGACGGGGATTGTGTGTATTGTTCATCGGTAGAGACATGGGTCAGGCTTATGGCAGCGACAAGCGAGACTTTCTCTGGATAGATTGGAGACGGCAGGCGAGCTTGTTCCTTTTTCCATATATGTGAGCAGTTGTGCAGTGTATGAACCCCCGGTCTCGCCCTAATCAAGATACAGAGCCTGCCCGATGTCACCTACCCATTCCTCACGTCAGCGGCGCCTCTGAGAATAGATGCAAGCAGGCTAACGATGAGACAGGGAGCGAGGTGAAAGCGAGAGATCGGCAAAGGACAGCTTCTCAGGAGAGAGGTCCCATTAGCTCCAAATCTGGCATGCATTTTGTCTTCACATGTCACACCGCAGCGTTCCCATGACAGCCACATCTGAGCCACTTCTGCTGCTTTTTAGTGTTAAGGAGCGGCTGGTATATTCCTTATGGGCTGCCTGGAAAGGCCGCAGTCTACGTTATATGTGGGGTAATTAGGATGCCAAAAATTCCACCTGGCCGTACGGCATTCTCTGTGTGCTCATCATTGCCTGACAAGCCAGCTGTGTTATTTTGCACATGTTTGCAGTATTAGGTTGCCCGCAAAGAAGATGCTGCGTGTTTTTCTATAGTTGCCGGCTGTCCCTGATATCCAGGGATCAGCCAAGATTTTAGAGATCCCTTCCTGGAAGTGGTTTCAAAAGGGTTGGTCCAGCGAAAACTTATATGTCAGTGTTTGATGTTAGAAAGTCATATTATGTAGTGTTATCTCTGTTCGATAATTGCAAAAATACCTCTTAATCCTGTTTGAATACCTTGCTCCTTCATTATGGATAAGAGGAAAGTTGGTGGGGGGTTCTGTAGTCCTGTCCTAGGGGGACAATGTTGCTTCTCCATACATATAGTACAGTGAGTGAGCGTTGTCACCAAAGAACAGGAACTATGTTCCTGGAAGGATTACTAGGTGAAAAAAGGAAACAAAAGTTTGAAAAAGAAAACTACCGTATTTTTCGCTCCATAAGACGCACTTTTTCCCCCCCCAAAAGGCAGGGGGGAAATGTGTGTGCGTCTTATGGAGCGAATCCCTATCGCCCAACGCCCAGGACATGCAGTTTCGTACGCCGGGCGAGTAGTTTTTTTTGTACATTTAGCCCTACTCCTGACAAGCTGAGCTAAATGTACAGTGGGAGCCGCTGCTCGTTTAATTCAAGTGATCTAATCAGATCAGTTGTATCAAATCCAGCGGCGGCAATCGTTTTCGCCCCCCGCCGTGGTTTTCGGGGTCCCCCGCTCCTCTGGGGGACCCGTGACCACGGCATAGGAGCTCACCATAGAGCCCCTAGAGCAGACGAAGAACGTCCATTCTTCGTCTGCTCTGTGTGATCACTGAGACCGTGGCGCTGAAATCACAACTCCACCTGTCTCAGCTGTGACAAACTACAGCTGCTGTCACAGAAGCCTACCCTCCCTGCGTCCTATGGTCCGGTGCACCTTATAGAGCGCAAAATACGGTATATTATTATACAGGATTTATATAGCGCCAACAGTTTGCGCAGCGCTTTACAATATAGGGAAGACATTACAATTACAATACAATTCAAGGCAAGATGGTAAGGAGGGCCCTGCCCCTGAGGGCTTACAATCTGAAAGGGAGGGGGGAGTGATACATGAGGAGGTAGCTGTGTGGGGAGGAATTGTTTTTTTTTAACTATTTTACATTATGGGAAATGTAAAAAGAGGAGCAGGAACACACAAATATCCCAGTTATACAGGAACAAAGTTGGGAAATACGTTGGGAAGATCTCACCATATGGAGTATCCAAGACATACAAGGTGCCGGGGGTTGATTCATCCCACTGACCTCTACCAATAACTAAAATATCACTTTTTCTATGGAATCTATAAACAAAAAGATGTTGGGGGAAAAAAAAGAAGCTTTTCTTTCTGTTTTCACCAGTGTTTTGTTTTTTAAAGCAATTTTACCATAAATTAAATTGTAAATTATATTCTATAATTTGTCCCGTTTAAAATGACACTAAAACGATGTTTCCAGTACAAAGTATGGCAAAGTTATTTGAAAATGGGGGGAAAAAATAATTTTTTTCCAGTTTTGTGAATTTTATTGTTTTGCCACATTGAAAAGAGGTGCAAACAAAACGAATGAAACGGAAAAAAAAGTACATTTTTATTAATGCTAAAAATAAACAGCAGAAACATAGCTAAAGGGGGGAAATACGGGAAGGAGTTAATTAGGGGTGAGTAGGGTTAAAGTCACATTAAAGGCTAATTTTTTTCCCCCTCCCCCCAATGTTAGTGTAAGGACTTACCTCAAATGATGCCTCTGCTGTCCCTCCAGCGCTGGTGCGGGTCTCCGATCCAGCGCTGACTCCTCTGTCCTCCTCTTCTCTCATGTCCCACGGAGTCTGTGCGGGTGCACGCTGCTCCATAGACTTACCTTGTGTCTCTCGTCTCTTGGCCGAGCATCTGAACTGCGCATGCGCCCGCCCTAAGATCCTTTGCAGCCGCCTGATAAATTTTCAGATGCTCGGACGGGAGCGCACGGCAGAGACACAGGTAAGTATTAACCCTTTCAAAAAGTTTTCTCTTTTTTTAATCGTTTTGCATATATCTACTGCTTGCTAGCAACAGATATATGCAAAAACATGCAAGGGTTTAATAACCCTTTAAGTGTTATTAAGGGGTTAAATAGAAATAAATGTATTCAAATAAAAAAATCACTTTTCTAATTGGTTGTCATTGTATTTCATACATATAAACAAACATTGCCTTTGATTTACTGAATGAAATAATACATTGATTCATTGTATTATTTACCCAATGGCACCGGCAGATTGCAAGTGTTATTTTCCACCGGAGCAGCTGTCAGTAATACAAAGTAATAGTGTAATACAAAGCACTTACTAGCTGTCATTTTGATAATTTGCAGCAGGGGAGAAAAAATTGTCAGTACGAAAGGCTAAATGGTATTGGTGCTTATTGGCAAAACCTCCAGTTTTCCAATTTTCTGGGCTGAAACCCTTAGTGGACATTTACCCCCTCTGGACCTTTAACTAAAAATCACATAAGCGTGTAGCTCTGCATGCTGATATGAAATCCTCTTACATTCATTAGTTAAACATATTTTTCTTTAACTTACCGTATTTTGTGCTCCATAAGGCGTACTGGACCATAGGAAGCAGGAAGATTCTGTGGCAGGTTCTGTGACAGAAGCTGCAGTTAGTGACCGCTGAGACAGGTGGCGCTATGATCACTGCGCCACGGTCTCAGTGATCACACAGAGCAGACGTTCTTCGTCTGCTCTAGATGCTCTATGGTGAGCTCCTATGCCGTGGTCACGGTTACCCCAGAGGAGCATAGGACCCCGTGGGGGGGGAGTGCGTCTTATGGAGCGAAAAATACGGTAGTTATTGTTTTCTACTTCCTGATCCCCTTAGCAATTAGTGATGTAATCTTTGCCCAAGCGTTGCATCCTGGAAAAGTTACATCAGCAGTACATTGCTGGGAAATCTCATCTGTAATCTCACAACATCTTAGGAGAAGGCGTTTTCCTCTCCAGAGATGATGTGCATGGGCACATGTGCCAAAGTTGCAGGAAGTAAAGGGAGATATATTCATCTGCCCTTAGTTAAAATGGCCACTGTCAGAAGACTGGGGAAGAAAAGAAAAATAAGTTATGCAAAGAATAAAAAGCCGACAATTATCTAGAAGTATGTGATTGTAGATTGTCATTACTAAACACTTCTAAAGGTGCCTTCGTTGTCATTTTAGGTCCCATTCACACTGAGCGATTTATCGCGCGGTAATTCCCGCAATATCGCGGCTATTTACCGCGCGATATCGCTCTCCAATGCATGGCAATGGGGCTCTGTCCGTCGCGGGTCGTGCGTCGCTACAGCAGGACCCTTTTTGGAGCGGATTTTGCCGCGATTCTAGCTTGCTGAATGCAAGCATTTGCGCGATATTGCGCGACAAACGCGGAAAATGTTAATCGCGCGACAAACGCGCGATTTGCGAATCGCTCAATGTGAATGGGGCCTTAAAGATAAGGGTAAAGTTCCTCGTTGAAGATATGTCATCTTTAATAGATGTTGTACAAATTAGTGGGGCTGGGAAGGTTGCTGTAATGAACAGAAGCTTACCTTACCCCCATAAACGAAGTAAATCTGAACTAGGAAAAAAAAAAGCTAATTTCCCATGATGCTATAGGGTCCTCCCATATGAGCATGTGGTACTATTATGATGTGGTAGAGATGGGCACAGATGGTTTTTAGGGTGTCGGGTCATGAACTGCGTGATAGCTGGTCTCCCATTACCAGGAATGGAGGTCAAGCTTTTGCTGGTACATTTTGTTTTTTTTGTTCAATACATTTTTATTGGCATATAAAAGAATAACAAAGGTATCCACTACAAGTGGTAGATCGTCAATCACAGATAAACAACAACTCGTTTACATTCAGCGCATCAGTGCATCCGCATGCTATAAGATACACAGGGCATTGAAGGCGACTAGTGATTGCAGGCTGTAGTTGTGGAGACTGCTATTCCGAAAGACTAGTTATAACCAGAGATTAAATAGAGGTAAGAGAGAGTAGAAGAAAGAGAGAATTAAAGAAAAGAACCAAAAGGAGGTTGAAGGAGGTCAAGAGGGGGGAGAAGAGAAGGTGGCTGGGGGTGGGGGTTGTGCACATTAGAAGATCTACCACCAAAAGGTTGATCCCACATTCAAGTGCTCAGTAAGGACCTGTCGAAGGTAGGCGGAAGAAAATTAGAGAACCACGGCTCCCAAATTTTATTGAATTTGGAAAGGTTACCAAGTAACTTGGCCGTCAGCTTCTGGTTAATCATGACCCAGTGGAGTCTATTTTTGACTGCCGAGATACTCAAACTATCAGAAAGCCAGGCGATGGCTATTACTTGCTTCGCTGCTGTAGGCGCATGCGTTAAAAGTTGAAATTCACTCTTGGAAAAGCCAGTCGGCCTAACATTTAGGAGGGGCTTCGCTTGGCGTTAGGATGATACGTCTCTGGGTGAGAGTGCCCAGAAATGTGTTTTGCTGGTACATTTTTAATAATGTTGTGCTTTTCTCCATGTCTTTCTAGTACAATGCTCCAGCAACTTCCGCCGAGTACATACATCGCGTCGGTCGCACAGCAAGAATCGGAGCCCAGGGGAGCAGCCTGCTCATTCTTATACCATCCGAGGCTGATTATGTGCAAACGCTGGTGGATCACAAGATCAGGTGGGTGAAGTACAAGCAGTTCGACATCTTGGGGTGGGAACTTGCAGACATCCGTCATCTCCCATAAGATTTTAAGCAGTCTGTGCTTTGTGTTTTATTGTATAGCTGAGGAAGCTCTGTTACCCCTGCAATGTATTGTGCTGCTTTCCTTGACTTTTATCAGTCTGCCTCAGATACTGACACTGCTACCATAAAAAGTTTGTGTATTGATAAATGTGCACCATCTTCTTTTTTTTGTAGTAGTATATATGTAGCCAAAGCTTTCATTTTTGGTAGAGTAGGGAATGGTTAGAAAACTTTGATTTGTTTTTTTTTTTTGCTGTAAATGTGCTGTTGGGGAGATATTTTCCTCACTTCCTGTTCTCGTAACACAACAGGAAGTGAGATGAAATGCCTGGACAAATGAGCACTTTAGCTCAGTAGATCGGAAAGTGAGTGAACACATACCGTCGCTCGCTCACTTCTCGATCATGTCCCTGCGGAGAGCTGTGACTGTCAGTCACGGCTCTCCTTAGGGATTCCCCCCCTCCCCGCTCCGATTCTCCAGCACTGACTGAAGGAACGGACGGGGAGGGGCGGGTATAGCTGGCTCTGCCTCTAGATAGGCAGAGCCATCTGTCACTCACGCAGCTGGGTGGATCTTGACAGTAATGTTGGGATCCGCCCCGGCTGTGGCGGTCCCAGTATACGGCGAGCTGTAGCTCATGATATACTGAGCTTTGGGTCACAGGAGGACGCTAGTTTATGTCCTCCCGTGACACTTAGGAGAACTATGGGGAGAAACACTTACCCCATAGTTCTCTTTTAAATACGGTTGTTGAGGCCTACCACCTTTAATGGCACCTCTATAGCAGTTCATAATTAACCTCTTGCCGTCCGCCCGTAGTAGAAAAACGGACGGACGGCACTGCTGCATCTGCGGGTTGCCGTCTCCAGACGGCAATTTTTTTCTGCTCGCGCGCGCCCCCTAGCGGGCACGCACGGGCAGAAAAGACCCGACAATGCACCCCCCCGGTACCGGGTGTCACACATATAGGCGATCAGCGGGTCCATAGCCCGCCGATCGCCTATATGTGCTTGTTCGCGGGACACCCCCCCCCGCGCCCGCTCGGCGCTTATCTGTCCCCAAAAAAGGGTATAAAATTCATTTCAGTACAGCGCTGCATGACGGAATAAATGTCAGTTAAAGTACCGCAGCGCTGAATACTGAAAAATGGCCTGGATGGGAAGGGGGTTTAACACCGCGGATGTCAACTGGTTAAATACAGGGCAGGGTTAATCTTTTTGTAAGATTGAAACTCTGAGTTCTTCCCCTGGAGACCCGCACAAGTATTGTATGATGTATTATTGTATTTTAATTCTCTCTTTCCAAAGTCTTTAGGCCAGTCATGTGATGTCGTAGGCTCCTCTTCCTCTTCACCACATTTCAGGGTTTGGAGTTGCTCTCTTCACTTTTACAAAGTGAATGCTGAACTCTGTGGTGATGCTTCCATGACACCCTGCACACACAGTAGGGTCTTCCGTCTTGAGTAAGGTTCAACAATATTGGATACCCCTCCTAGCGGGGGAGATCTAGAAGCGATCTGGCGACAGGTAAGTCGCCAGGATCGCTTCTGTTGTAAAGCCGACAGTCGGCTCTACAAGTTTAAACAGAGTCCCGGCGGCAAAAGTCACCGGGAGTCTGTTTAAACAGCCCCGATGCTGGCGACGTACACTGTACGTCGTCAGTCACGAAGGGGTTAATGTGAGCCTTTGTAAAAGAAAGTTTCATTTCGTTTTCCAGTCCTGCAAACAGCATAGTTGCTCCTCCCAAAAAAAATCCTTGGTGTACATGCATCTATATAACAAAATACAAAAGGGGGAGCGCACCCAAGTGTACACAATTGCTAGTAATGAGCCAATGTTTAAGGCAAAACATGATCACCTTGTGTATATATTGTGTATATACTGATAGACAAACAGAATATATATGGCGAACTTTTGGAAAGGCTTTCACAGAATTCCATGCAGTCGGGTTCTGGGAGCCAACAGTAGGATGACTTGGATAGCTGTAGACTAAAATTCAATGGGCTGAAATTCAAAAGAATACATCTCCAAGCTTTCGAATTCCTCACCAGGGCTCTTACAAAAGACACACAGGGAAGTGTATATCATACAAAAGATTTATTATGCAAGACGTTTTGAAGTGGTTCACCACTTCTTCCTCAGGCTTTGGCAATGTTGGCCTTCATTCAGCCCTGAAGACATCTTGTGGCTAGAAGACATTGCTGTGGCAGGCAGATCCAGATTAAGGCTGGGTTCCCACCTGGGCGTTCGAAATATGCGCGTTTCGGGTCGCGTGTTTTTACTGCAATTTGCCGTCCACGAAACGCGCGTTTACAAGGGCTATCTGGCTGTATCCTAATGGATAAGAGCAGAAATACACCCCAAAGAAGCTCCTGTACTTCTTTGGGCGTAGGGTGTTTTTCAGCACGTTCCGACACGCTGAAATACGCCCAGGTGGGAACCATGCCCATAGGTAATAATGGGATTTCACTTGCCGGGCGTTTTACAGCGCGTCGATCAGCACTGTAAAACGCCCAGGTGTGAACCCGTCCTGAAGGGGAATATTGCAGCCAGAACTTTTGTAACTGTCAACACCGTTCAGACAAGTCCAGGTTCACTTAGGACCATCTCATTACATGTACTGATTAAACCAAAGGCAGTGCTGGTTTCTTGTCACATTTAAATTGTAACTATGGGTAAAATAATGTATATGTATGATGAAGTCTGTCACTAGCATTAACACAGTATTTTGTTTTTTTCACCCCTCCTGGAACATTACCTGTTGATCCTGCCTGTAGATCTGTTATTTTTATTCTTCCTTTAACAACGTGGCAATGCTTTTTGCTCTAAAGGGAAATTGCACGGCAGTGTAATAGATCAACAAACATGTCTCTCCCCTGCCTTACATATGAACAAAGTAGTAGGTGAATAGGATGTACAAACCCACAAAAGGGGGGGGGGATCTTCGTCAAGGCTCCACAGCAGGGCCTGCACAAAAAACACCAACCGGTCAAACTGGGTAGTACATGGTAGGAAGGGGGTAAGAAAAAAACATCACAAAAGAAGAAAAAAAAGATATATGGTTACAGGTGAAACTCGAATAATTAGAATATCGTGCAAAGTTCATTTATTTCACTAATGCAACTTAAAAGGTGAAACTAATATATGAGATAGACTCATTACATGCAATGCAAGATAGTTCAAGCCGTGATTTGTCATCATTGTGATGATTATGGCTTACAGCTCATGAAAACCCCAAATCCACAACCTCAAAAAAGTAGATTATTACATGCAATCAATAAAACAAGGATTGTACATAGAACAATATCGGACCTCTGAAAAGTACAAGCATGCATATGTACTCAGTACTTGGTTTGGGCCCCTTTTGCAGCACTTACTGCCATTACTTTTGCACGATATTCTAATTATTCGAGTTTCACCTGTACATTTAGAAAGTGTAAGAGATCCTGTACAAATTAGGTTTCCTTTTGGTATTTTTTTTTCTAGTGGGCAACTGACATTTGCATTCATAGTTACATAGTATTTGAGGTTGAATAAAGACAACGGTCCATCAAGTCCAACCTTTGTGTGCATGTGTGTGATTGTGCATTTGTATATGTGTACACGAGTCCCTTTTCCATCCTTGTTTTTAAGAGTACCTTTACCCCTGTATGTTATGGTCTCTGAGGAAGGTATCTAAATGCTTTTTAAATGATTCAGTACTCTCAGCTGATACCACTGCTTGTGGCAGGGAGTTCCAGACTATAACCGATCTGACTAAAAAAAAAAAAAAACCCTACGACCCTTGTGGTTAAATCTTTTCTCCACCAGTTTTAGGTGGAGGCCTCTAGTCTTTGTTATGGAGTTTACTGTCAAAAGTTTATTATTGATGTTGCCATTACCACCAAACATTTTGTACATCAAAATCATGTCCCTTCTTAATCTCCTCACTTCTAGCGTGAACAAGTTTAAGTTTAATAACCTTGTCTCATAGCTTTGGTCCTCCAGCCCCTTAATTAGTTTAGTTGCCCTTCTCTGGACTCTCTCCAGTTGAAGGACATCCTTTCTGTGGACTGGTGACCAAAACTGGACCGCATACTCAAGATGAGGCCGAACAAGTGATCTGTAAAGTGACAAAATTATTTATTTGTCTCTTTCATTCCCTTTTGAATACCACAGAGTACTCTGCTCGCTTTGTTTGCTGCGGCCTGGCATTGCTACTATTGTTCAATCTGTGGTCTACAATGACCCCCAGATCTTTTTCCATTTTTGACTTCCTAGTGGAGTTCCCATTAATGTGTATTCCGCTTGCCTATTTTTAATCCCAAAATGCATTACTTTACATTTTTCAACATTAAACCTCATCTGCCATATAGTTGCCCACTCCCCTATTTTATCCAGGTCCTCCTGTGATGTTATAGGGTCTAAGTCCTTGTCTATTGCCCTCCCAATTTTAGTATCCTCATTCCATAACCCTTTGCTATAGCCAGGCTGCGTATCAGTTCAGTTACATGACTTTTAGTGTGCCCTTTGCTTATACTGAGTATCCTGGCCTGGTGACATAAACACGATGGGTAAAGCCCAAGAATATCACTGCTAAACTGCTGTGTACAGCCCAGTCAGGTTCTGGCTGTGCCACTGTCCGGGAACCTGGGGTACCACAGAACCACAGACAGATAAACAACATATATTTGCCATGGGATAGGCCATAAAAATGTTCTGTATTTTCAAGCTTTTTTACACAGAGGAACCCTTGCTATAATGTTCAGGTCTCTGGAACTTCTGCTTATATTTACTAATGGGCAGCTCATGGCTCATTAACCATGTTAACATCGTCAGTGGGAAGATTGCCCCTTACATTAGTGGCCAGCGGGAGGAATGCCCTCCCCTTACAGGTAGCTAAAAAGATCATTGTCAGTGATAACTTACCTGAGAGGCAGAGATTGCTCATTGTTCAATAAAGCCCTGGCAACCTCTGGTGGAACCCCTAGCATTCCATGGAACCCTGGTTGAGAAAAGCTGGTCCAATGGAACCCAGACATCTGTGTACAAACAAAAGAAGATGATTCATTATTAGTCCCCAGAACTGTGTATCTCTACCTCACTGGGTATTACATTATTCTTTTCATTTTCTCAGTGTCTCCGAGTTGAAGATGGAAGACGTGCTGTCCAACCTACTCTTAGAAGACTTCCTGAAAATCAATAGAGCTGGTGGCAAGGTGAGAATGTCAAACCAGTGCACGCTTTACAGTATATGTTTATAGGTCTGGTTTAGGATCTGAGGGGTTCAATAGCAATGGGCAGGTCTAGGGGGTTTGACGCCGAAGAGCAGGGACACCTTAAAATGCTGTTCTTTGAAAAGGATCAATGAAGGCTGTCAGGGCTGGGATCTGTTAGATGTGGTAACAGGAGAGGAAACTTTTAGCAGCCATTGAGGTAAATACAGGTAAGCTGCGTGTAGGTTTGGAGCTGCGCTTAAAGTATCATTTTATTTTTGGTAATATATATGAATATTGCCTCCATCCATGCCACTATGTAATGCCAGGCAGCATTCAGACACTTAAGGGGTGCTTAAAGGTTTCATTTAGTTTTTTGTTCCTTTTTTAAAAATAGCTCTTTTATCATTTAAATGTTAAACTCTAGGGAGCTACAAAAGACAAACATTCATGGAGGCAGTGTAAGTACTTGAATTTAACTTGGTATCAGCCCCCTGTGGTCTACTGTACTGCAGAAGCAGCACAGGGAGGCTAACGGGTATGGCACAGCGCAAGGAGCATGCTGCTAGAAGGAGAGAGCAGAAGTAGCACAGGGAGGCTACCGGGTATGGCACACTGCAAGGAGCATGCTGGTAGAAGGAGAGAGCAGAAACAGCACATGGAGGCTATCGGGTATGGCACACTTCAAGGAGCATGCTGGTAGAAGGAGAGAGCAGAAACCGCACAGGGAGGCTCAGTTGTGGCACAGTGAAACAGAAGAAGAAAGCAGAGTGACAGAGATGAACTCATCAGTCTGCTGCTTCTCCTTCCACTGTCCAGTCACAGGGTAGGGTGGGAGGATACCTGACAGTGAAAGTGGAACTGCAGCAGAGAAAGGTCGGGTCCCCTTCCCTGCCAGAACTGGATGGGCAGATATAACAATCCTTTGCCAGGTAAAAATGCTTTCCTATCTGGATTTTATCCGCATAATTTTCTTTGATTCTGGTGTATTGCGGACGGGTTTGAATGTTAAAAAAAAAAAAAAAAGTTCTCTGTCTTTTCTTCTTGCAATTATCCTTCCCGAGGCTGCTGTGAGCTGGGCTCTATACTTCTGCTGGTTAGGGCGATCCCAGCAGCTTTTTTATGTATTGTGCCCTCGAGGGCTCTGGCCACTACGGCCAGGAGCATTTGAAAAAGCGGCAAAGGGCACGGCAAAAGTGAAGGCTAGCGGGAATGGGGGGATAATGAGATACAGTGGAGAGAATGCAGACACACAGGAAATATGTTCCAGGTAAGAGGCAGCATTGGGGCTTCTATGGCTGACTAAGGCTATAGAGGAGCCAGGCTGGTGGGAAGCCAAGTGAAGGATGTTTCCTTAAAGAGATCTTCACTCCGAAGGAAGAAACATCGCTGGCTTATCCCCGCTCTCTCCCTCCCTTTGTAATATATTGCCATATTATCACTAATCCCCCTGGCAGTTGTGACACTGAGACAAGTCATCTGTCACTTAAGATTGAGCGCTCTTTAATTTTCCGGCAGAAACTCGCAGCAGGGCCTCCTTCAATTTGAGGTCTTTATTGGAATTCTGAAGCCCCCTTCTCGCCTCCCTTCCCCGCAAGCCTCAGATCTATTCTGAGCCACGTTACAGAAAGTATACAGTAACCAACCGAGGGATTCAGTCCTGGCTCCGGCTCTGTTTATTTAACGATTTAGCCGGATTTCTGCTGCTTACGCCACCCCAGGCCAAAGCCCGCTTTCTGTCATTAAAGTGCTTTAGTTTTAATAACAGCGGATTGTGTCCACCTGAGGAACGGGTAACTGGTGTAATTTTGCATTCATATTAAAAATAATAATAATAAAAAAAAAAGTTACAATGGGCTTAAAGGTATTAAGTTTATTCAATAAGGCAAAGAGTGGTGTTGCAAAAGTGTGGCAACCAATTGGCAGTCATCTTTTCCTGATGAGGTGACATCTGGTTGCTATGTGTAACGGACATTTCCATATCTTTATTGTTCCTTTGCCCTGCTGTACCTATTGCTGGCCACACACAATTTTTCTTTTTCTTATTTTTTTGTACTGACGTACATTTGCTGTTTCACTCATTTAACCAATTTTATTAAATGTATTTTATAGTGTACCTGTAAAAAAATAAGTCAAGGCAACCGCCTTGACTTATTTTTTATAGATATACCATGACCTGAATGAATGAGAACCATTATAGTGGAACACATTTGCTTCATATCTTACTCAATATTTTTTTTTCCTCTCATTCCACTGATATGTTTTTTGTTCTACCTTTTATTGTGCCATTTGTTTTTTTATTATTCAACTGATTTTTTTTTATTATTACATTTTCCTATGGTGACACACAGTTTTTTTAATTTAATTTTTTTCTTTTAATGGTGACACACAATTGCTGATTTTCGTATTCAACTGATTTTTATTTGTTTTTGTTTTTTTAAGAAAAAAATTTTTATAGCGACACCTGCTTTGGTGCTTCTCTTATTCGTCCGATGTTTGCCTTCTTTTGCTCAAACCTTTTACACATTTGCTGTTTTTCTTATCCTACTTTTTTTTTTTGCATATCCTTGTGTTTGATTATCTTACACACACTACAACTCCACCAAAATCAATTATGTTTTCCACCCTGGACAATTATTTCCTATTCAGTTTGACCCTAAAGTATTGGGCCTAAAAAAAAAACAAGACATAAGTCTGCTCCTCTGCTCAGTTGACGGGTGCAATAGCTAGCCTGCTGTTGGCTGTTGCAGTTTGTAATGGCCAATAGCAGGCTGGCTATAGCTCCCCAATATTTACATTTTTTGCTGCTGACTGCGGAATCTAGCCGCCGCCCGGCAGCAAAATGTTAAAACATTTTTTTTTTATTTGTAACTAAATAAATTTGGTTGCTAAGCAACCGACAATTTTTAAAGGAGAACTATGGGGTAAGTGTTTTTCCCCATAGTTCTCCTAAGGGTCACGGGAGGACATATACTAGCGTCTTCCCCCGTCCGTTCCGCCAGTCAGCGCTGGAAGATCGGAGGTGGGGATCCCTGTAGCGAGCCGTGAGTGACAGTCACAGCTCTCTGCCGGGATAGATTGAGAAGTGAGCGAGCGACGGTATGTGTTCGCTCACTTCCCGATCTATTGAGCCGACGTGTGACAGTTTCATTGTCACACATCGGCTCGAACTATGAGGTTGAGTTAAAATCACACACCTCATAGTTCTCCTTTAAGTGTGTATCAAGCCACCGACCAGTTCCTTGAATGCTTGAATGCCAGATAATGGGGAGTTTACTGTATTCTCAATCAACTGAGCCATCTAGAATTAGGTCCTGTGGGGGCCTATTCTACGTTTTCACTGCTCTTACTGTGAAGTTAAATGTGATGGGTGATACAGAGGCAGAGAGAAAGGGATATATACAGTACAAGTACACTCCCAGTGGTGCTTTTCATAGCCTTCCTGCAAGAGATTACAGAGAGCGCAAGTAAAGATGAATTGAGTGACGTTCGCACAGCTTCAGTGTTTGCGGCATAGAATTTGTGACTCGCTTGTTGGTTGAATTTACTTGTTCTCTGGAATTCTATCCAACCTCAAAATCAAAATGCTCCCATAGACGACCGATCTTTCCACTAGGAGCTGGCAGAGAAATCTGCCTAAAACAAAATCCATATTTTGGCACGTGCGCCGATACTCATTCAGCCGGCTAGAATTTTCAATTATTCCAGCCAGCAGAATAAATGTACTTGCATACACGCACATTCGCACACAGTTACATGTGTATACACGTAATTTGCGCCAGTAAACTCCTCTCTGAACGCAGGTTTGGGGCATTTTTTTTTATATCCCTAAACACTGCACTAAAATATAGATCTGGAGGCCACAATGTGAGCACATTGGCTGAAATAGGTCTTATATAGGTGTCTTGCTGCACTCCTTACCGGTATAGGATGTTCCTTGAAATCCCGGTGGGTGCTCGTAGTGACCACGGATGGCGCCGTGAAGATATACAAGTTTGCAAAAGTATGTCACCAGCACACCATTTGAGTGAGATCAACAAAAGTCCTTTTATTAATGGAGTACTGTCTTTCCAGTACAAACACTTTCGGGGGCCGCACAGTATCCCCTTCATCAGGCTCAGAATGACCAATGACCCACACAGGGTCCCCTACATCAGGCTCAGAATGACCAATGATCCACACAGGATCCCCTTCATCAGGCTCAGAATAACCAATGACCCGCACAGGATCCCCTTCATCAGGCTCAGAATGACAAATGACCCGCACAGGGTCCCCTTCATCAGGCTCAGAATGACCAATGATCCACACAGGGTCCCCTTCATCAGGTTCAGAATGACGCTCAATGATGTCATTCTGAGCCTGATGAAGGAAACCATGTGCGGCTCATTGGTCATTCTGAGCCTGATGAAGGGGACCCTGTGCGGGTCATTGGTCATTCTGAGCCTGATGAAGGGGACCCTGTGCGGGTCATTGGTCATTCTGAGCCTGATGAAGGGGACCCTGTGCGGGTCATTGGTCATTCTGAGCCTGATGAAGGGGACCCTGTGCGGGTCATTGGTCATTCTGAGCCTGATGAAGGGCACCCTGTGTGGGTCATTGGTCATTCTGAGCCTGATGAAGTGGACCTTGTGCGGCCCCCGAAAGCGCTTGTACTGGAAAGACAGTACTCCATTAATAGATGGACTTTTGTTGATCTCACTCAAATGGTGTGCTGGTGACATCGTTTTGCAAAATTGGCTGAAATAGGGGTGCGTCCAGAGTCTGAAAAATGCGCCCTGAGAGTTGGCAACCAAACAAAAACTGCTCTGCTGTTGACTTGACTTTGGTAAACTGAAATTCGGTTGGGTGCATTGACCTACGTTCTGTTCAAGTATATTTGCAGTAGGAAGAGTTAATACGGGAAATGCATGCTCCCTTTATAACTGCTCTGTGTGTGTTTCTACGCTATGCTCCCCCCGACTCACTCCCTCCTTTCCGCCAACATTTTTATTACAATGTAATTTCTTGTCTTTTACCATTAATATTGCGAGGATTACCCTAGCTGGCCCCAGTGCGGAATGCTGTGTCACTTTACTGTTATTAAATCCATCCTAAAACTGCTTTATTATTCACAGTCTCTCTCCCCCGTCTTTTAATTTAACCCCCTTCCTCCACCTGATGCCCCCCCTCCCTTTCTCTACTGCCCCCATCCAAACAGAAGGCCGAATCGGCGGACCCCCAGACCATCCGGGAAAGAGCAACCGTCTTGCAGACCAAATTTGAAGATTACACTCATGCCAGTCCAGAGACCGCTTTACGGGCTAAGAAAGGTAAGGAAGGAAATGGCAACGTTTTCTGGTCTATATGTTATTAATTTCCTTTAAAGTGCACCTGTCTTTTTGGATCTGACAATATACTGCAAAATTGGATGGCACTACCTTACTTTTATTTGCATTATGCAGGGTGGTAATATCAAATTTTGCCCCAAAAAATAAAAATGCAGCCATTACTAAAATCACTCTTCTTTGGAATCAGCAGTTCATGTTGCAACAGTATAGTATATAACAATAGTATATTAACAAGCACCTTTTTCTTGCCAATAACAAAAGAGAGAGATGCCCCTGACCTCTTTTATATGAGCTGAAGCCTAGGCAGAAGATTATTATTATTATTACATGGTATTTATATAGCGCCAACAGTTTGCGCAGCGCTTTATTACAATCACAATACAATTCATGACAAGATGGTAAGAAGGGCCCTGCCCCCGAGGATTACAATCTAAAAGAGGAGGGGGAAATGATAAGATTGAGAATGATCACATGATCACTGGCTACCATGACCATTGTGGGTGTTATGCCATTAAGAGACTGCAGAGACCCTGTCTATTATGTGAAATAAGATGGTATTATTATTATAAAGGATTCATATAGAGCCAACACTTTGCTCAGCACTTTACAATATAAGGAAGACATTACAATTCAAGACAATTGATGGTAGAATAAGCACAACCAGGAAGCAGTAATAAATGTCAGGAGACCATAGCTCCTCCTGCAGCATTAAACCCTGCCCCGTCTCCACAGGTATATTGCCATGGCATCTAGGGGTTGGACCGTAAAATAATTTTGTGCCACTTATCATGAAATACCGAGATGCTGAATAATTTCTGAGCCTAATAGAAAAGAAAAATAATCATGAAAAGGTGCAACACTAAATAAACCTAATAAATCTGGAACTAGTCACACCCAACTTGACTCAAAATCACAAAGGAAAAATATTTTTTTATTTCTAGACTCACTGCAATATGTTTTTGTAAAATTGAATGATATTTCATCAATTATAAATACTCCATAGAAATCACTGCTAAGGACTGTAATTCAACAAGATGCTGATTGCTTATGACATTTTTACAGTGATAACCTTTTTCATGGAAAAAAAAAAACTTTGCCTATAATAGAAAAGAATATTTTTGTCTAATTTCGTAAGTTCCTTATGCTGATATAAGTGGACTTGTCTTTAAAAAAAAAAGAAGAAAATCACAAATATATATATATATAAATCCACTCGTCCACTCGTCTGTGACGAGCAGACAGTGGAGCCCGACGAGCAGCTTCCCGGCCGGCCGGGAGCTTAACACAGTCAAGCGATCGAGCGGCTCTATAGACGCTCGATCACTTGTATCAGCATCTGTGACTGCCGTGTTCGGTCCCGAGATCCGCTGTGCCCGATGCGGCCGGGACCGGCACGGCTCTGTGACAGGAGATCAAAGGGAGTTCAGTATACGAACTCCCTTTGATTTCGGTAGCAGCATTTGCCCTGTGATGTTACAGGAAACATGTGACCAGGAAGCAGGAAATAGTGGGCGGAGCTGCTATACAGTGAGAAGGAGGCTGCAAGCAGAGCACACGTTTTTCCCCAGTAAGTCTCCCTCTGTCCATCTTCTTTTACATTATACCCTCTCTCTCTCCAACCCTATATATCCTCTCTCCCTCCCTGTATACCCTCTCTCTCCCTGTATACCCTCTCTCTCCCTGTATACCCTCTCTCTCCCTGTATACCCTCGCTCTCCCTGTATACCCTCTCTCTC